CACCTAGTAGGGTGATGAAAGCTTCGCAAATTAACTATCCAGCTGGCTCAGAGAACACAACCACATCAAAATCATCCACCTGAGCTACAAATCTTCTCTATCATATCTAAATCTATGCATTTCACAAAAACATTTTGATTTTATTTCATAAACTTTGTTGCTTCTGTCCTGATTTTGACGACGGACTGATATCCGTTAGAGAACCATTAGAAACAAAGGAGTACTGTAGTGCAGACAGATACTCGCCGATCACAATGGCTGGTTGGCGGTCACCCTAAAATCCCAAATTGGTAGAAGTTAGAATTCATAAGATGGCCATTGAGTCAGGTCCCAGAGAGTGAACAGTCTATGAGCTTTCCTTGTAACCAGAAGCTCCTGTGTTTGAATAACCGTGAGTGCGTGTCGATGATGAGTCTCAAATTAGGACGAAACAGCTTACCAGTACCCACTGCCTGGTTTTCAATGGTTCTCTAACTGATATCAATCCGTGGCCAAACTTGAGGCAAATCCGAATCCCTACAAACTAAATCTTGAGAATTCTCTTCTAGTTAAATCATACGATGACTATTTACATGTGACTAATAATATATAAAAAATAATATGTTATCATTATTCTCATTTCTGTGAAAACCCGTGGAAAATAAGAAGTATTTACCAAAACGTTCGCTAATCTACACATATATAATAGAATTTAGAAAAAAAATTTCAACACTAAACATGTCATACTTTCTACTTTTGTACTTCTGTTTATTGATTAGATTGGAGCGAAGTACTCGGCCTCTGTTGTCATTTCAGCTATTAGTAAGGAATTTTCTACTGTGTCTAGATATTGACGCCATGTTATTTGCTGGATGATGATTAGCAGTAGAATCCATGATGCTCATTTTGTTTTATTTTATTTTGTTTACAATATTTCGCATATCCGGTACAGATGTTGCGTCATGTCAGTTGCACGCGTTTAGTAATCAACCGAATCTTTGTTTATTGAATCAACAATCGGAATGACGTAACACCTATCCTGGATATATATATATATGTATTTTTTTTATTCCTTCACGTTCCCAGTGGAACATAGGGCTTCAAGCCCAGTGGCTTGAAGTTTCTGTAGCAGTGGTGATTATTTTTACAGGATGGGGTTGCTAGCCTCATGCCAAACCTTTCCTCTTCACCAGCATTATTTCTGGCTTAGCGAGGTAAAGGAGTGCGTCGGCCGGGGATCGAACCCCGGATCATTTGCATGGACGGCGAGCGCCCTAACCGCTGTGTCACCGACGACGGTAAGATATAACAACAACTAACTCAGAATGCTAAGTTTAATTTTAGTACTCCTGAACTCGACAAATTTGGGCGATAACCTATTTTGAAATAGCAGAGAAGATTTGTATTTGTAATGTTAAGTGTAAATTTAGGTTAGGAAGGCATAGAGCATTACTTCAGTCAGTATTAAAGAAAGGTACATGATGGTAGACCATCTTCTTGAACAGAACAAAACTTATAACGTTTGTAAAAGAAAACAGACTGATCATTTTTATATAAGGGAAAGTGTGCACTGCTGATATTGTTTTCAACTTTTACTGAACCATTATAATATCACCCTACAAATACTGAAATATTTACATAGGGATATCTCCCATAGAAGCTGTAATGGGTTTGACTTAACAGTCCTCTTGCAAGAACATTTACGTAAATAAATCCAGAAATCAGTTTGATGCTTTACATGCAAAAGGAATACAAACATTAACTAAAAAGAAATACATCCAATTAAGGAGGACGAGTAGCAAGTTGAGACATGTGCAAAAGAACCCAAAAATAATATTTAACCAGACAATAGTTGTAAGTAATGTCATATCACGCCTGCTTTCTACAGCCATGTGCGGGAGTGGCAAAACACCTACTATGAATTTTGCAGACTTTGACAAACAGTTGTCTTTTATTTTGAAAATATGTGAATTGCTTAGGAAAAAAATAAGTGGCAAGAATACTTATATATATATATATATATATATATATATGGCAACACCACATACCACATGATCCTCAGTGAAGCCTTTGGAGTGAAAACAGGAGTAAAACAAGAAAGACTGTCTACTATCACCGATGATATACCTGACTGTGGTGGACTGGATTATGCGGTATACTGTACGTGGGTAACGCCACTAGACCGATAAGAATACTCTCGAAGATCTGGATTTCGCAGATGATTTATGTCTAATGTCAGACAAATTTGAAAATCTGCAGACTAAAACCAACAAACTGACGAAAGAAGCAGCAAAGACAGGACTTCAAGCGCATGTAGAGAAGACGGAGATGATGAAAATAACCAACCAACAAAAATGACACCTACCGTCAATCACTATGGACAGGAGAAATCAACAGAAGAAATCTGGAAAAGGTCGCTTCCTCCACTTATCTAGGCAGCATCGTTTCAACTCTAGGAGGCACGGATGAAGATGTCAAAGGAGGGTAGAACCGGAAAGGCAAAACAGACCCTCATCACTCTGAAATCAGTTTAGAAATCTTCTGAATTCCGTAAAAACAACAAAATTCAGATTTTCAACACCAAAGTTAAGTCAGTCACTTCTTCTATGCGGGTCAGAAACTTGGCAAATGTGTTGCGAAAAGCTTTTCCAACAGGTTGCAGACTTTTATCAACAACCACCTTCACTCCATACTGAAGACCAGATGGCTGGCCAGAAAGAATTAGCAACAAGAAACTCTGGGAATGAACCAACCAAGAACCTATTGCTCAAAAGATATTCCTTTAAAAATGGAAATGGATTGGACACACTCTAAGGAGACAGTCGAACGACATTATGCGCCAGGCCCTTGAGTGGAACCCAAATGGGAAATCACGAGTTAATACTGTATCACTGTGTGTTTTATGTCAAATTAACTAATCTAGTATGAAATTACTATATTCTACTACAGTGCCCAAAATCTACTGTTACATTAGTTTAGTGACTTATCATATGCTGTCAGTTACTTTTGGTGTGTTTATGCGTTACTAGCACTGTAACCTGAATACTAGCCAACCGTGCAAGTGACTCGGGGTTCGATCCCCAGCCGTCACACTCCTTTACCTAGCTATGGAAAGAGGGAAGGTTGGACATGAAGCTAGCAACCCCATCCCGTAAAAAACCCCTGCTATAGAAATACCAAAGCTCTAGCTTGAAGCCCTATGTTCCACTGGGAATGTAAACGAATTAAAAAAAGAAAAGAAGAAAAGCACTACAATGTTTGACGTACACTCTTGATTGTTATAGCAATGGCAAATATTTGTAAAATGGTAACTTGAAGCTATGAGTAAGTAGAATACAGAATTTGGTATGTTGCATTCTTCCAATGATACCTGCTTGTGATTTCGGACATAAACCATCCAACTTAATACTTTCTACTCCCTTCAGAAAAATGTTTGAAATGTGAATTAGACAAAATCAGATGGCGAACTGACCACATTTAGAGAACCAGTAAAAACCAGAGGGCATTAGATAGTTGTTTCGTCCTTGTTTGGGCCTCGTCGATGACACCAACCCCTGATCCCCACTAATTCTGACTTGTGCAGATTTGCGATATGTGACAAATGTTACATGCGGGTCCTTTGTTTCCCTCACACCCCACTTGCTATGTAACCCGGATGGTCACGACTTCTGGTTAGAAATTCAGGCAACTTAATGCTGCAGTCAGTCACTAGTGAGAAGCAGACAGATTTTCGAGAGGTAGTTTTTTAGGGATTTGGTATATTTCAAGTTTGGTCACGAATTAACTTCAGTTAGAGAACTTCTGGAAGTTAAGCACATCGGATTCTATCCCAATGGCTGAATGGACAACCGGCCCGCCTTTAAACCTGTAGATGCTGGGTTCTTTGCGTACTATTGAAAAATCCCAAACAAGGACAAAATATCTGTCCAGTACTCCTTGGTTTTCAATGGTTCTCTGACTGAAGTTAGTTTGTGATGAGACTTGAAGTCAGAGAAAACCAACACTTGAGAACCAAATGAAAATGTTACCCACACTATTTAATAATATAGTAGATAGTGGTGAATTTATGGTGAGTTAAAATTAGTTTTAGAAATTATACTTCCTGATTAGCTCAACCTAAACAAATTAATTTAACCCAACTGATTCTGATGTATCACAGCAAAAAGATCAAATGGCCAAAAAAGATCAGCAACAGGGAGGGATCTCTGGCAATGAGTGAACCAACCCAACAGGATCCAGCTGTGCAAGAAATATGCAGGAAGAAATGGAGGTGGATTGGTTGGCCATACTCTGAGAAAACAAACCATCAAGTGAGTGACATCACACGCGAGGCCATCATTCGAGTGAAACCCGAATGAAAAGCGACGAGTTGGTCGTCAGTGCGAGGGTGACATGGAGTAGGAGGAGGTGATGTGAAGAGGAGATGAAAGCATATGGGCAGATGGGGAGCCAGGTGAAGACTCTAGCAGAGAACCGAACGCAAAGGAGACGTGCGGCTGAAGCTCTATGTTCCTCTAGGAACTAAATGAGACAATAATAATAAGTCAAAAATGTTGCCAGGTTATTCAAATACATTAGGATGAAAGTGTCGAAATTCTAGTTCACTCGTACTCCTTCCTGTGTCTTGAATGATTCAGCAACGTCTGACGACATAAGATATGTTGCCAGATCACCCGAAAAAGAAGACATAGAATTATGAGTGAACTAGAATTTCGACATATTAATTCCAATGCATTTGAACAGCCTGGGAACGCGTCGTTAACCTTCAGTCATTCTGATCATTCACGTATGTACGCACTGAACAAATCAGATGAATTCTCTTCAATTCATCCGCTGAAAACTTCATGTTGTAAATTTCAGAGATAAACATCAATACTTCACTACAAGTGATTTCTAATAGTGTGTTCAGAAACAGGAACTAAAATGTTGGAAATCTGTTGCATTTCAAGAAAGCATAATATTAAAACGATTAGAAATTAAGTTGTACTGAAACATATTTTTATGTTGGTAATAGTACTTACCTTGGTGCATACATTAGACCCAATGATGCAAGATATCCATTAGTGAATGAAAATATAATACAACCGAATACATATACATGATCATTTGTAATGAGTACAGGTAGATGAGGTTTTTCAATGGCAAAATTACATGATAAGTAGAAGGGGATAAAGAATAGGGTACGTAGCCATACAGGTATCCATAGAAAACGTGGTCCTGGCTGTAAAAGAAAGCGATTATTTTGTAAATATATGAGAATTTCAAGTAAAATTTACAATTTCTAAAAATTTTTTAGTGCATTTGAATTAGTTTCTTGAACCCTGAATAATATTTTAATGAAATACAAAAAATTAGGTGTTTTTTTGCGTAAAAATATATACTACTGATTGATCGACGTGAGTAGTCGTATATCACTCAAATCAACTAATAGGGCTTGCTGACCAGATCTAAGTGATTTAAACACCAGATGACCGTTTCGCTCACTTGGGACCGAACTCATCAGCGGTTTCCGCTCTTCGAAACAGCTCACAGAGCTGAATCACTTCAAACCACCTGAGCACCTCAATCTGGCTAGTAAACAACTACAACTACTAATTCGTGAATGGTATACGAGCTTTCTTTGTAACAGGAAGGTCCTGCGTTCGAATCCTGGCAGTGGGTGCATACTGCCGATGATTCCCAAAATGGGATGAAACAGCTGTCCAGTACTCCCTGCTGGTTTTCAATGGTTCACTAACTGATTTCAAACCATGATCAACTCTTAAAAACAAATCTAATCCTTACAAACCAACTATTGACAACCACTAATGTCAGCCAATCAGTTGCGTATAGTTTTACATAAATATGTTTGCTTAATTCACTACTATTTACAATAAGTAATAACTTTATTCCGGGCAGTGTTTATATAGTGTACAGAATTCTCAGCGGAGTTTATTGCATGATATTTCCTCTTCGTACAGGATCTTCAGGTAAAATAGTAACTGACAGGTAAGTCCTGTGACACAATACTCTCTGACCTGAAGCGCAAACGAATCCATTATGACATTTCTGCTTTGTCGCCTTGGCGAAATGGAATATATTTGGTTGAAAGCCAACAATAACGGAGTTTAGGAGTACATTTTGAGACCCAGTGACATAACTCAGGAGCAGTTGTTTCACGTACTGGGATACACTGCATCCCCCCCCACCCACAGGACTACTCTTTTTCTCAAGTTTAGTAGACACTTGAGAACCAGAAGGTTGTAGACATTTTAAATACTCACGAGAGTAAATAATACCACTCAAGGTCATATTTTAATCGATTAAAACAAAGCGAACTAGAGAAATTATATGCAATATAGAAATAGAAATTTTTGGTAGCCCAAGTTTCAAGCAGGCTGCCGGTTGAGGATCACATACTGTGATCTCAACACTTTGGTTTCCAAAGGAAACTGTGTTGAAAATTTCACCCCTCGACCTGTGTAGATTGAAAATTGCCAGCCAAGCTGCAAATTGTGAATTTGATTTAAGCAAGCGATTCTATCCACTAAAAAAACCCTCGACAATTTCGCGTCTGCTGAAGGGTTTCAAATCCAATAACCCATGAGGCCCAAATTCTATTAACTCACCTGGTCATAGTTACCCAGCCTCATTTTTGAGTGTCTATCCTCCAGTTTACTGACTCTATGAATCTCTAACTCATCTAAACTTTTGAATGAACATTAGGTAGTAAGTAGCTAGTGTCACGCGTTTAGTTTCTTGATTGATGCAGACTGAATTCTATCGTCAGTCAAGTTTGCAATGTGGCCACCATATTAGATAGCTCGTCATCACGGTGCACTCTGAACTGCTGCTATTAGACAGACTGACTGACACTTAATATCTAGTTTTAAAGCGAAAGTATGTAATACAGTTCTGCAGGAGGTCAATCACGACCCCAAATAGCTCAGTGGTAACGTCTCCGACTTCAGCACTGGGTGATATGGGTTCGAATCTCCGAGTGGATATGAAGTCCTTCAAAGTCGCAGATACACCACCTTCCTATCGATCGCCTACGACCCCCTAATAACAAGTCATTTGAACTTCAGGAAAGACATCTTTAACATAGTCTCTAATATGCGACAGATTGATATTCAGATGTAACCTTTGTGGGAATTCGGTCAAATTCAAAGGAGATTTCATCATAAAGAAATGGCATTTGGAATATGTGTACAAAATAATACATGGAGAAATGTCAAACGAAGAAATGTTACTATAGAATTTTAACGGTGGATAAGTTTGTGTGGGTTGAAGTATAAATAAAGATAACGGAAACGATTTCTGTCAAATAGGAATAAGCGCTTGAGAGCACCTCCGTGAATGGCTTCAGAAGTAAATAGAATCCCCTGAACTCATTATTAGTGAAAACAGACAACCTAGCTCTCCTAATGAGAAACATGGTGAAGGTAAACTTTAAGTACCAGTAAGCATCAACGAACAAATGCCCTTGAACGCACCAACCAAATGATAGAGGCGATATTTGCGTATAAAATAAATATTATTATTATTGTTCCCTTGGGTTCCTAGTGGAACATAGGGCTTCAACTACACGTCTCCACTTGCTTCTGTCTTCTGCTGTACTTTTCACCTGCGTCCATGTTAATCCATACTGTTTCAATTCCTCCATGTCACCATTGGACGTCCCACTCTCTGCTTCCCTTTGGGGTTCCACTCGAGCTATGGCCTGACGTGCGATTTCACCCAGCGGCCTCCTCAGCTCAGCGAGTGTCCAATCCATCTCCACTTCCTCCTGCATATTTGTTGAGCGATTGGTTCTTGTTTTGTTTGCTCCCATAGTTTCTTGTTGGTGATTCTTTACGGCCATCTGATCTTCAGTATAGAGCCAGCGAAGACAGTTGTTGATAAAGGTCTGCAACCTGTTGGAAATATTCTTTGTGACACACTGGCCAAGTTTCTGATCCATCCGTATAGAAGAACTGACTTGACGTTTGTATTGAAAAATATCCTATTACAACACAGGATACCTTTCTCTGACGTTTGACAATAATGCCTCTAAGTTTTGGATTGCTCTGTCAACAAAGTAACATAATCACATTCTATACAAGTACCTAACTAGGTCTTCTAGCCCTAACAATAACCCTAATCTTTCTTTAACCCAAGACTAACGTGAAAACATCCCTAAACTCACCCTAACCCTAAATCGAACCAACTCTAACATCTCCTTTACTAGGTTCACCTAACCTTACTCGTGCTTAGCTTAAACCTTAATATTTCCCAAACCTAACCTGAAACTTACCAGATATCCCATTTAATGTCATAAACACTTCATTAAGCATATTTTATTGATGATTACAATATTATTTGCCAGGTCTCACTAACTTGCTCGGTGGGTGTTTCAAAGTCACTGGTGCGGCCACATTCAACTAGTACTAACTGGTGCTTTAAGTTTAACTTGGCTAGAAACATACTATAGAGACAGGGCATAAAATTAATGTTTATACCTTTTGTAAACCCATCCATAAAACATGTTTGGGGTGTATCCTAAAGTATGTGGAAGCCCTAGAAATTAGGAAGTTTAAACCACCGATATGTGTTCAAAAACAATTTGTCATGACATTTAACCTTCCTTGGGTAAACTTTGTTCTGATACCACGACAGATGTACTATTATTTCCCTTCTTCTTCTTTGGTTTATTGATCACCATTGTCATTATTTTTTGACCTTGAATATAGCCCTCTAACTTGACCTATGTCTATGTCTCACCCCTTAATAAATTCTTTTTTTCAAGTGTTGGTTTGTAGGGATTTGATTGGTTACAGGATTTTCATCATGAGCTGACATTAGTTAGAGAACCATTGGAAAACCTGGGAGTACTGGACAGCTATTTCGTCCTAGTTTTGGACTCTTCAGCAGTGCACACCCACCGGGATTCGAACCCAGGACCTTCTTTTTTCACTATACGTATTCCTGTGACAAGTACATTTGTGGTCAAATGGTTAGAAATGTGTTGCACCAAATATACTACACGATTCAGATAAATTAGTCTTCTTATTATTTTGTCAAAAGAAAAATTATAACAAAAATTGCTTATCAAGTGGTGAAAAGAATGGATAATACATTCCTCCTATGACTTGAAAATGAAATTGTACTATTGACTATATTGGAGTCTACTTGTAACAAAATATTTCCTATGGATAATCAGCATCCTTTGTAAGCTAATGAAAGATAAGGCAAACTCTTCAACCAATTTGACAAAGTTACAGGCGTTAGCACGAAACACTTCACTGTACAGAACCAAGACCTTCAAAAAAACTCTATGCATACGACTTCTAGGCCCAAAGTGAACAGCACAGATGATTACCAAAACAATTATATATGAATATATTTTACATTTTCATGACTCAAGTTAGCCTGTCTAGCTCAGTTGGTAGAGCATGCGACTCTTAACCTCAGGATCCTGGGTTCGGGTCCCACGTCGGGAGCTGGCCGGCCATGCATGTGGCCCGGGGTTCGAGTCCTAGCCGACGCACTCCTTTACCTGCCCTAGCTAGACAAGGAGGGAAGGTTGGGCGTGAGGCTAGCAACCCCATCCCCTAAAAATGAACACCACTCCTACTGAAACTTTAAAGCTACAGTTTGAAGCCCTATGTTCCACCGACGACAATAGTTCGGGTCGCGCTAAAATCACGAATTGGTAGAAGTTAAAATTCATGAGCCATTGGATCGGGTCCCAGTGGCTGAATGGTATACGAGCTTGCCTTGTAACCGGAAGGTCCTGGGTTCGAATCCCAGTGGGTGCGTACTGCCGATGATTCCCAAACTAGAATGAAACAGCTGTCCAATAGTCCAGTGCTGGTTTTCAATGGTTCTCTAACTGATATCAGTCCGTGATCAACTCGCAAAAACATAACTAACCCTTACAAACCAAACTATAGTAAAATATGTGCGATAATTTATTTCATCTGGGAACTAATCAAAGGCTTCTAAAACTCAATTGGTCTTCTACAGAAACAAAATATGTATAATATAACCACCTTAGTGGGTTACTTTAGTATGAAAGCAGTGAGGTTAAGACTAGAAGAAAGATACAACTACACTATCCCATTAAAGAATAACAGAATTCTGTAATGCCTTTGAATAACTAATTAGAAATACACGTTTAATGACTAAGTTCCCACATGCCATAACTTTAAAGGATACCATTTCTAATATACTCCACGTGACTGCCGATCAAGTAACGTGATGTATGCATTGGAATTTCAAAATACCAACCATTATAATTTATTGTTTGGAAAGGTGAATCCTATGTCTTTCATAAGAAAGTAACCTGATTATTATTATTACTACTACTACTATTATTATTCCTTTGGGTTCCGAGTGAAACTCAGCGCTTCAGCAGTACCACCCCATTTCCATCTATTCTCTACAATCTATTTTAGGGAATTTTTTCACGTTCATCGAACACTAGTTAATAACTAAAGTCATGTGTCATCTCAGAGGGGACACGCGTTCCTTCAAGGTTGCAGATACGCCTTGTTGACGAGTGCCGACAAGCACGAAACCTCTGTCGAACAAAGCTTCCTGACGATTGTCTCCGATCATTTAACAAAATGTATTTTTTAGCCAGCTCAACCATTGCCCATAAGCTTCATTTCTTTGCCACACGATCTCCTCCACCACATCAACCCCTGACCCACACACAACTCGTTGTTCCCAATTCGGTTCCTACTGAAAGGTCTGGTGGGTGATATCCCACAACGGCCTCCTCAGTGTATAGCCAATCCATAATTGTTGAACGAAAGGTTCTTGGTGTGTTTGTTGAAGTAACTTGATCAGACCTTGAGGCGCTACTATCTCCAATGATTTTCCTGACTGCGGTAGACTGGATAATGCGACAGACAGCGGGCAGCAAAGAAACAGGCATAAAATGGAACCACATAAAAGACTTGAAGGATATGGACTTCGTCGATGATATATGTCTGATTTCCCACGAACTGGAACATGTGTAAGTGAAAAGCAACAAGTTGGCAGAAGAAGCATCCAGAGAAAATAAGACTTCAGTTGAACATAGAGAAAACAGATGTAGGTGATGAAGATTCCTGGCCAACAGCAACAGCAACAACAACAACAGCCAATAATCAGCATAAATGCGAGAAATTTGAAAGAAGTAACTTCCTTTACATACCTGGGAAGCATCATTTCAACTGCAGGCGGACGGAACTGATGAGGATATCAAAGCAGAGAGGATCGGGAAAGCAAGACAAGCTTTCATTTCTCTCGAGTCTGTGTGGAGATCAAAAGCACTCCTCAGTATGAAAAATAAGATCCGGATTTTCGACTCCACTGTGAATTCGGTGACTTTGGGCCGAGTAACAAAGGGCACTTCGAACAAACTACAGACATTCATCAACAGCTGTCTTCGCTCAGTACTCAAGATCAGATGGCCAGAAAAGATCAGCAACAGGGATCACTGAGAAAGAACCAACTATGCGACAAATATGCAGGAAGAAATGGAGGTGGATTGGCCATAGTCTGAGAAAACAAACCATCAAGTGACATCACACGTCAGACTCTCTTTCCCTCTCGAGTGTATCCTGAATGGGCAACGGCGAGTTGGTCGTCAGTTCGAGGGTGACATGGAGAACGTCATGTGAAGAGGAGATGAAAACATGTGGGCAGACGTGGAGCCAACTGAAAGCATTGGCAGAGAACCGAACGCAGTGGTGACGTGTAGCTGAAGCCCTATGTTCCTCTAGGGACTAAAAGAAACAATGATGATAAATAATAATAACTTGATCAGTTTTGTAACAGTGATTAGTCTGAAGGTAGTGTTGAGTTTTAGGTTAGCATCATTTGGAGGAGATTTTACTAGACAGAATGTTTCGCTCACATGACCTAACCCAATCTTATACTAAGAAGACCAGTGAATCATTGATGGATAAATTTAAAATAATAAAAGTATGTTGTCTAAAAATTTAATGTATACACTAGTCAACTTACAAATTGGATCCAGTTGCATAGAACACAACCAAGCATAGCGAACAGATTGAAGAACAGAAAGCAGGTCACATCAACAAACCAAACAGCTAGTAGAGATAAGAAAGACGAATAAACAAAAGAAAAAAAAACGAAAACCATACTTGAAAAGGAAATTATAACTCATAAATATTTATTTGGCGACTTCTTTGCTATTTTAATTACATTTCCACGATAATGAAAGAAAAACCGATTGGTGTCAAAGTGTGAAATTGACTTTGCAGGCATCAACAAACTGAGCTAATTGAAACAGATCACATAAGTTAAACTTGTTTCAATGAATGCTTATAGAGGATAGCAACTAAACAGTTCCAAAGGGAATGTGATTTTACTCTCCAGGTTACAAAAAACAACTTGGATGGTTATTACCAGAAATAGTACGACAGTATCTAGTCAACGAAATCTTCTTAAGCGGTTGATTGATCAACGCAGAACACTCTTCATAAAAGTGTAGCAGTTCAGGTCGCTATACTTCGTAAGAACGCAAAAAATTAGGATTAAAAAAAACGTATTCAAACTGCAATGGATGAAGAAGCAAATGAATAGAGAATAATTAGAACTGGCATTCTTCAGAAACACTCTAATCAAGAATGAATAAAAAGAAATACCGATGTTCAGAGAAACTTGTATGCACCGAAGAAACAATTAATTGTAAATCTGAAATTCAAGGAAGACACAATTAGTGAAGTTCTGCAAAGTTATCTGTCAAGGGAAATTCCAAGGACGCTCTTTGCTGCATCTCTACGACTTAGATTCTCTACACAAGCTATTGTTCACTAAAACGCCAAAGACAAGATGTCACTGTTGGCAGCTACAGAGTGTACTTACCAGCCCACTTTCTTCTGTTGAGTTATGTACATAGGCTGTACCACCAGGATGTCGTCTAGACGAGCTTACGAACACCTACCATTGTGGTTACCCGAAGACGAATGCGAAACAGTCAGCAGCTTAATTCTGAAGTGCTTTAGATGCCCCTGCTGTCTCACATAATAATAGTTTTTTATATTTAGACAAAGGAGGTAAACATGTTCAATATACCTGCCTTGACTACACATCTGCTTTTAACTCTTTACCCAGACATCTTTGTTAAACAAGCTTTCCTTAACACAAACTAATTCCTGGGCTGCTAACCGGTTGAATTATTATTTCTCTAACAGAATGCAGTATGCTGTATAGAAAGGCAAATCTTCCTCTGCCTTGTTAACGGAAGCTGATGTCCTTCAAGGTGCTGTTCTTTCTCCTCTTCTTTTTTCTTACATAACATTCCTCTTTTGGAAGGATGATGATCTGACTGCATCTTTGACGTTTACGTCTTCACATGTCTGTTCCAAACTAAATAGCCTTTTGTAAGACATTAGCCAGTGGTACAAGTCAAATGGTCTTATGTTAGATCCCTCTAAATTTCAGACAGTTGACTTCGCCTTTAGGCATAAACATGATCTACGCGATCTTGTTAATTCAAAAGATGTTTATACCATAGAGGGTATTGAAATAGAAACTAAGTCAACCAGCATTAAATACCTTGGAGTAGTTCTATCCTCTGACCTTTCTTGGTCATCCCATATCTTGTCGATTTCTAAGAAAATGTTCCTGTCTAACCTTCTACACTAAGAAGTTAAGATAATCAGAAATCACTCAACTCATACTTTTACATTCTGTTAACTGTTGTTCTTTATCCCACCCCACCCCTTAGTCTTTTCCGGGCTACTCAAAAAGTACTATATCATATTACGAAGGGTATTAAAGGATGTCGGTAGGGCAAGTGATATGCCACTAAGTCACTTCGTCACTGTTGTAGTCAACAGATACCTGAGAAATGGTCTAAATTCATACTTTCTGACTTTCAGTACCCTTTCCATTCACAACTCTCCCCTTGCATCTCATCAGGTAGGACTAGAAGTCATTCTAAAAGATTTTTGCTGGCACAACCAAGTACAGAAAATCATCGATACCCTATTTGTCCCGCGTTCTATGTGATAGAGAGTGTTAGGCGTGAAACCTATAACTTACTATGTTATCAACAAAACAATTGGCTCTTTTACCTTTTATCTGTTTGTAATTTACGGTGATACTTTTAGTTATCTTATAAATTCAGTCATTAATACCATTACTTACATTTTATACTTTTTGTAAATTTTCAACTTTTGTTTCTGTTAGTGCCAATAAGTTGCTATTATCAATTTCGGTTACCTATACCCTGTAATGTTTTATGTTGTTCTTGAGTAAATCAGATGCAATATTGAAGTGAATGCTGAGAATTTCATGCTGTATCATAAATACTGTTTTGGAATAAAGTAAATCATTGTCATTATCGACATTATTACATCGGGTCAGGCAGAATCAACAAAGACTACTTTTAGAGTTCTACACAAAAGTAAGGCCAGAGTGTTCAACATGATTTCGCTTGCATCTTCATGTAACCGACGCTGTAACTAACCGTAAGGAAAACTTGAATTCTGCGTTCAGAAACGTTTTATCCAGACTCTTTTTCTCTAAAACAATTTTTGTAACTCATTTTCAATTCTTTGTTCTCTTGTATCCTATCAGCTATTTTGCAAATGACTATTTATCACTTAAGTAGTTAATTGTCAACTCTTCCGACTACCTAAGGTTGTTCACTATATTAGATGGTTGGAGGCAATCGGCAGGAAGCCTTGCTTGACCTAGGTTTCGTGCTAGTTGGCACTCACCAGTCACCAAGGCGTATCTGCAGCTTTGAAGGAACTCACGTCCCAAGCATCCTGCCGATTGCCTGAAACCATCTAATATCATCAAATCAATGTGCAGAGTGATGGAGAGCTACCTAGAATGGTGGCCATATTGCAAACCTGATTGACTGATAGAATTCAGTCTGCACCAAACAAAGGATTAGACACATCACACTAGTTGCTAGTGTCCAATCAAAGTTATTCACTATTTTTTACAGACATCGTAATTTCTAATATACTTTGATTTGTATTTTCTTATCATTTGAGAATGACCTTTGACCTTTGTTACCCATATACATTATACGTATAAACCCCCTCAAATCAATGTACCGTTTGGAAAAGAAGCTTATCAATTATTATTTAATTGGTTGGAGGATTTCATCATGAGCTTACATCAGTTAGAGAACAAGTGGAAAACCTGCAGGGAGTACTGGACAGCTGTTTCATACTAGTGCTCGGAACTCTTCATCAGTACGCACGCGCCAGGGTTCGATCCCCGGGCCTTCTAGTTACAAGGCGATCTCGTAGACCATTAAGCAACTTGAACCCAATCCAATGCCCCATGAATTCTAACTTCTGTAAATTGCTGAAGAGACCCAAGCACTAGGACAAAACAGCTGTCAAGTACTGCCAGTTCTCTAACTGATATCAGCTCATGATGAAATCCTCCAACCAATCAAACTAAATCCCTACAAAAACCAATACTTGAATATTACTTAATCCCTTAGAATTCCCGGTGGGACATTAGACTTTAAGCCTGAACTCTGAAGACTCAGTAGCGATGACTTTTGTCTTTTACGGGAGTGAGGTTGCTAACTTGTTACCCAACCTTCCCTCTTTACCAGACTTATCACCAGCTATGCAGGATTAAGGAATGTGTCGGCTGGAAGTTGAACCCGAAGCACGTGCGTGGTTGAAGAGCATTCATTCTACCATTGAATCAATGACACACAGAATCCGTACTCCGAGAGAGGCTCAAACTCACGACCTTCGCACTATAAGTTACCAAAAGAGATCTCTTTGCTAACTCACGTATTCTTAATTCCCATAATATGGAAATCTTTTATATCTCTATGCATTTTCATTACCATTTGTCTCTTCAGGTTAATTGTGAATTCAAATGAACGTGACATACTCATTTCCATATATTTCCTATAAGCCAATATTACACTTGTGTATGTATTAACAAGTCAGTGAGATTCTTATGAGAATGAACAGTTGAAAAAAACCGAAATAATTACAGAGTCTATTGAGAAGGCAGTAATAATTATAGATAAGAACACTTGTCCTAGGAAATTTTTCCTATAGATGAGTGCAATATAGGAGGATTAATTTAATTAATACATTCGATTTATACGCATAATGGTAGCCATTTGTAAAATTTCAGGAGGCATTATTTCTCCACTTTTAGCTTCAGCAGGTAAGTGTTTGTATTCTACTTAGATTCCATTCAATTAAATCTTCAATGAATGGTGTCTTTTGATATCCTGTATGAACATCTAAAGTGGTTATATTTAGCCATTCAACGCCACCCCACAGAATATTTTAAAGTACTTTCAAGTGAAGTAAAGGAGAAAAAAATCAGTAACTTCATTTTCTAACATTCAATCATCCTACTTACATTGTCCTAGATGATAATCTCGGACCGCCATTCATGTGAATATTTCGCCACTCTATATATAACAGAATCTAATCTAAGTTGATTATTAAATTAACTATCGATCACAAACTGATTTCAGTTAGCGAGACACACTAAAAACCAAGGAATACTGGACAGAGCTTTTGTTCTTGTCCGGGACTCTTCACCGGTACGCATTCATAGTGGTCCAACCGGGGATCGAACTCAGGGCCTTCAGACTATAAATGCTGCAAACCAAATAGGTAAGTGTTCATAGTTACACCAAGGTAATATCATTACGAGGAATAAATTACACTCAGTACCTCCTCAGTAAATATTTGTGTACCGACTTAAGCAATTATATGAATTACAGCTACAGGTTACATGAAGATGTAATTCAAAACACATGACTATTAGGCAGATACTGAATTCGTCAACTAGAAGGATGTCAACAACAGTTCTGTTGTCTGAATTTCCAGGTAAATGCGCATCCCAATAAATTAGGAAGATAATAATGTAGATTTTCAGAGTACAGAAAGAGAAATGTCTTATCACACATGAGAATTTGCATATACAAGGATGTATATGCACACAACAATTGAAGGATTCTGGTCAAATTCTGCCAATAACTACTGTAAATCAAAGTGTTTCCTTTGCAAGCAGAACTAAGAAGTCCTGTAACATGTGTCGTTATTACTCCATTCAAATTCATTAACAGGAATACGTGTATGAAATTTCTTAGAAAGTCTGTATGGAAAATGTTTTAGCAATTAGAAATATACTACTATCAAACATAAAAGTAGCTAAAGTGAAGCAGGACAAAACTCTTAGGAAGTGGAAGGAAAGAGTGCGAACAGAAGCATATAAATGTATTCCTTAGATATTTATTCATGAGATCTATTATAAAAAAAGACTGACAACTTACGTGAAATAAAATAGTCTGCATTGACTGGTCTCACTCGGGATTGAACTGCAGGGAATATGGATAATGAACAAAAAAATACGCACCAAATATTTATGCAATGTATCCAGCATTCTCTCATAGTTAAAGTATATTTCGACCAATAATCCAAACATCTTTCCTTACCACCAGGCTGTAGAACAGGAAAAAAGGAATTTTAGATAGGGTAATATTGAGAATTATAATTGCTAGTCGAATGGATTTGGAGGAAATTTTTTTCAGAAGAAACTTTTAGTGAAATTCATGGATGTTTTATCAACATTTGGAGTCACTGTGATTAGGGATTTTAGGAAGTTAAATTTGGGAAGTTCTAACAGTTCATTTATTTTAACTCTATGAATTTAAAATATGACACTTTGGTGATAAACCTCATGATTTTCATTTTCTACAGGCTAACAGCTTAAAAAACAAGAGAATTAGACAGCTATATGGTTATGTTTATTTAGTCGTCAGTGAAGTATGCTAGAATAGAATGGTTAGTGGTAGTCGACAGGAAGTCGGCGACTTAGGTTTCGTACTAATCGAAAGTCGTCATGGAGACGTATCAGCAACTTAAACGGAACTCACATCTCCTAAGAGATTCGAACACGTGTCGCTCAAAGCCGTAGTCAGTGTCGTGTTAGCAAAGTAATTCATCTGATTACTGTAGTAATGTTATGGGTACATTGATCGATTACTATGTCAGTGATATATCCTAAAAAGGCTACACAAATATTTTAAGTTAAATCATTGGGATGATATCTGATTATATTAAGGCTATCCAAAGCAATTAGTGTTTTTCTGTGGTAACTAGTTTTAAATATTGGTGATATTTCTCAATTTTATGATTTTCATATCATTGTTAGTGTGATTATGAATTATTAGTCTCTTATGATTTACCATGAGTGTGTCTAAGATGTTGACTCTACCATTGGGTTCATGAGTTCAAAAGGGATAGATTCGTTGCCGAATTGTGGCATTCACTTTGTCATTCAGATGAATGTTGGCAAAGCGCAGAGAAATTTCTTATCAACTTCAGTGAATGGATAAACTCTCAATGACTCCCACAGATGCATTCCCCCTTTCTGTAATCTTCCAGATATGTTAAAGTCCCATTGTCCTCCACATATATATTCCTTCATCCGTAACTTTCTCCTCATTATAGTTCTTTTGAGCTTTTCTCTATCTATTTTTGTATGCTATATGGAGTGTGGTAACTTGAACTGCTGCAATTCTGTGCAAAGTTCTACATTGAAATTTAGTCCGTTAGTTAGTCAGTCATTGTTCTTTAAAATACTTCAAATGGAGAAGTGAAATAATTGAGTAAATTTAGTTTTTATACCAGTAATGTTTGAATAACAATGAGTGTGAAAACTTGCACGGCTTTATCCAAATTTACGTTCATGAATAATTCCCATGCAGACAATATTGAAAACAAAACACGTAGTTCAGCGAAGAGGCTCTTTTCGGTGAATTCATTTTTCACTTTAGCTGTACAATCACATTTATATATCATTTATTTTATGAAAGAGGGTAGTTGTGGTGAGAACTGTCTGCAAGATAAAATTCTAGACAACGATTTTACGTCAATGTTCACGTCCCAAATCGGGGTCATGAGAAAAAACAATCACAAAAAGCTTAACCCTGAGGAACTCACCAACCAATCACATCAGACTTAGTGTGTGCAAATACTATTCGCAGATACATGGCTTAACCTTCTAAGAAATGGTCACAATCAGTACAGAATAACCTTCAGCAAGGAAACATCCAATCAGAAGACGTTGCTTTTCCGCTAACGATAAAGCTAATAATAATGTACATAAAAATCTATACATATGTCTTGATTTCCTGTTGCCTGGCCCTTGTCTTCTGTCGTTACAGAAATGGTTGAATAATTTTATTTTGTATGCATAGCTCCGCTTTCTTTATCTGGATGGCTAGAGCTTCAGCAATGCAAAAGAGACGAAAGCGTATTGACTTTGAGAGGTTAATCTTCACTTTGAAAAAAAACCTTGTTGATTTCTACGAACTCGATTTTTATTTGTTTATTTATGTAACAATTATAACTCTTGTTTTTCCTTAGAATTCTTTCATAATTCGATATTCGCCTTCATTTCTGTGTGCATCCTGATCACAACTCATTCAGTAAATTATTCATCTAATTGAGTAACTCCAATACTCTTGTGCAACTCCAACTGTGAATTGACTAATATCAACAACTATGATTGTGTACATAATTTAGGTATCTGTCCATGTATAACTAGAGCTTCGGCTATGCATAAATGGACAAAACGCAGGCTTTTGGAGTGATTGGATTTGGTCTTGTAGATAACTTTAAAGGATAAATCACGTGGGGATGAATGACCTGACTCTAGAAGGTGTTCACAGATTGAAGACTTCGTCGTCCTATGCTCATCTTCCATTAACCAAACTGGGTAGTGTTCAGCTACGCGTTTACGAAGAACCTGATTACAACGTCCAATGGAATCAGCTCCACACGAACATGTGAATGAATATATGCACACATGTACATTAAACGACGTTTTTATGCAACCGACTTATCAGACAAAATATGATTCGACAATGCGTCAAGGATAAATTACCACTTATGTCCACCTCTATGTGCATATACTCTTTCACATGCTCGTGTGGAGCCAATTACATTGGACGTTATAAGCATAATCTCCGTAAACGTGTAGGTCGGTCGGTCGGTCGGTTTTCGACATAGAACTTTGCACATATGTGCGGCAGTTCAAGTCGCCACACTCCATGTAGCACACAAAGGAAGAGAAGAAAGTAGAAGACACGGTTTGGTTAATGGAAGATGAGCATAGGACGACGAAGTCTTCAATCTGTGGACACCTTCTAGATTCAGGTCATTCATCCCCACGTGATTTATCCTTTAAAGTTATCTACAGGACCAAATCCAATCACTCCAAAAGCCTACGTTTTGTCCACTTATGAAAAATAAATTCACCGAAAAGTGCCTCTTCGCTGAACAATGAGTTTTTTATTTTTCCTTAATTACCACAGGGATTTACTAATTCCATTCCTTCACGTTCAGGCTAGATCTTTGGAGTTTCAGCAGCGGTGATTTTTGTCTTTCACGGGAGTGAAGTTGCTAGTTTCACGTCCAACCTTTCTTCTTTGCCGAACTTATTACCAACTAGGCGAAATTAAGCAGTGCATCGGCGGGGTATCGAACGCCAGACAACGTGCTTGGTTGGCAAGCATTCTACCACTGAACTGCCTACCACGATTATCACAGAATGGTGACCTACACCGTATAAATTTTTCCCTGTACTGGACTTCGGGGTTATATGTTTCATTTCCTTGCATTGGTAAGATTAAATCCCAATAAGAATGACATAGGGTTTATTTACATTGTTCGATTTCCTGGACCCCATTAATAAGTCTAGTAGTACAAATTATCAGCGGCTTCATCTCTATACTACACAACAAGGTTACTTAACTTAGAAAAATGTGAACTTTAAGGTGTTTTATTCACCTAGCTAAAATATAGTATCATTCAGTAGAGAATATCATAATAGGATTTAATGAATTCATGCATTTAAGTGGAACTCATTATATGAATACTCCATACGCATACATAAATACTGTAGTGCAAGAGATGATGAAAACGGCCATTTCTTTTCCTTTTAGCACGGCACCGCTTGAAGATGTCTATAAAACATTTTTTATCTGATTGCTTTTTGGAGAATAAATAGAATTCTTGAGCTGACATTAGTTAGAGAACCACTGGAAACCTGGGAGTACTGGACAGATGTTTCGTCCTAGTTTGGGACTCTCCAGCAATACGCACCCACCGGGATTCGAACCCCAGGTAGGTAATTACCTGGGGTGAGAATTCGTGATCAGTAGGGTATGGCAGGTCGGGTGTGAGGACAAATACTCGCCGAAGACACCGGCTAGGGGTCGCGATATGTCGTGAATTGGCAGAAGTTAGAATTCATGGGCTGGCCATTGGATCGGGTTCCAGTGACTTAATGGTATTCGACCTCGCCTTGTAACCAGAAGGTCCTGGGTTCGAATCCCGGTGGGTGCTGAAGAGTCCCAAACTAGGACGAAACAGCTGTCCAGTACTCCCAGGTTTTCCAATGGTTCTCTAACTAATGTCAGCTCATGATGAAAATCCCATAACCAATCAAATCCCTACAAACCAACACTTAAATATAATTCTAATTAATTCTTATCATGATCGGGTAAACCCTCGCCTAATTCACTAGTTCGCTAGTTTTCTAGCCGGACCTAAGCCTGAGGAAACAGGGAAGGTTGGGTGTAGAACTAGCAAGCCTATCCCCAGAAAATCAATCCAATCGCTACAGAAGCTTTAAAGCCTGAGAGAAATATAGGAAAAAACGACCTGACAAATTACTTAATGACGAATATCCTTTCGAATACTACCGCAATTATCATTATTATTATTACTATATGAATCTCCAAGTAGAATATAACTTCCAAATTTGACAAATTATTTCCGGAAAAAGGATCGTTTAAATAAACAACTGGTAAGTAATACGATGTTCAATATTTAGAGGAAGAAAAGGCGCTTTAGGATAAATTTATTATCCAACTACATGAATAGTAAATTGCATCGAATTCATTCAAAAAACAATAACATCAGGATTGTTGTTATTAGATGGTTGGAGGCGATCGGAAGGAAACTCTGGACCTAGGTTTGGCGCTAGTTGGCACTCGTCAGTCAGCTAGCGGTATCTGCAATCGTCAAGGAACTCATTTCCCTTCTGAGATTCGAACCCGTTTCACCCAGTACTGCAGTCAGAGACATTACCTCTGAGTTATTGGGGCTCGCGATTGACCTCCTGTAAGACTGTATTGCACACTTTCGCTTCAAAATTAGGTAGTAAGTAACCAGTTTCATGTATCTAGTGCTTCATATACTGCAGACTGAATTCTATCAGTCAATTTTGCAAGGGACATGAGTTTCTTCAAGACTGCATATACGTCTTGCTGACTGGTGAATGCCAACAAGCACGAAACCTAGATCAAGCAAGGCTTCCTGCCGAATGCCTCCAACCATTTAATATCAACAATTTAAAGTACACCGTGATGGCGAGCCACCTATATAACATGGTCGCTACATTGCAAACTTGATTGATAGAAATCAGTCTG